CTTGATTGATTGATTGATTAATTGATTGATTAATTGATTGATTGACTGATTGATTGCTGATTGACTGATTGATTGACTGATTGATAGCTGATTGATTGATTGATTGCTGATCGATTAATTGATTGATTGATTGGCAAACTATTTCTTCTGCTTCGTCTTGCTTTTCTTCTCGTTCTACTGTCCAGCGCGGATCCCGACGTGCCTGCCACCTGTCACGCTGAAGCCCTTTTTTTTCTCCTTTTTTTTTTTTTTTTTTTGGTCTCTCCCTCGGCTCGACTGAGTTGGGAACGAGAGAGGAAGTACATACTATGAAGCCCATACACACGATGCAAAGCATTCGAATGCACGACAGCCATAGTCGACAGCATAGCAAAGATTGCTGTCGTAGAATCTTTTGTCCTTCTCTTTACTTGCTGTCTCTTTCTCTCTTCTTGCCCTCTCTCTCTCTCTCTCTCTCTCTCTCTCTCTCTCTCTCTCTCTCTCTCTCGCGTGAGTTGGGAACGACCGGGAAAAAAAGAAAAAAAAAAGAACGAACGAGCGGGATGGGAATTGTTTTTTTTGCGTGTCATCCATGCGCAGGCGCAATTGGATAACTACCCTTCTGTATATCGTTCCAATTTTCACGGATGTCTCGAAGGACCTCTTTTTTTTTTTTTTTTTTTGAAATATAATCTTCATTTGATCCGAAGGGAGTTGAAAGGCAGGATCGCATTTTGACCGTCAGATGGGATTTGTTTATTTTATTTGATTGTATTTTTTTAATTAATTGGAGGAATCGATATGTTTTATGTGGTCGGAATTTTGTATTTTTATTTTTTCCGACAGTCAAGATCTTTCAGTATAAGATCGGATTTTGTCCGCAGGGGGAGAAATAACAAGAAGGGAGAAAAAATGCTTTTTTTTGCCACTGTTTGTCTGGGACGATTGCTGCTCCTGCCGTTATCCTTTTTTTTTGTTTTTTTTTTGATAAGTCCAATTCGTTGCCTATGCTGCGCGGGTGCTGACGTGGATAAATGGATAATCTTTTTTTTCTCCTTTTCTCTAAAAAAAAAAAAAGGATAATCTTATCCTCATCTTCTTGGCATTCCGACGGACAGAAAATCCTTGAGCCCCAGAAAAGTTTTTTTTTTTTTTTTTTTTTTAACATAAGTTACATAACGCATTTCATTGCATTGCAAAAGACATCGTTCAAAAAAAAAAAAGAAAAAAAAAGACATCGTTCGAGGCCGGGGATCCTCACAATTCGACCCGGGGCAAGGTCCCACTTGCGCAAATTATGAGTTTTCGGCCGTTGATTTTCGCTATCTACGGTCAGTATCTCTTAATTCATGCAAGTGGGACCTAGCCCTCGGTGTTATCCTGGCAGCCTCAGCCAGTTTAGCTTACAGCGACTGAAAGTGAGTCCGCTAACTACCTTCAACTCCCTTCTACTCAAGGTTTTTTTTTTTTTTTATATGTTTTTAAAATGGAGGAACTAATATATTACAAATGAAAAAAAAAAAAAAAAAAGGGATTTTTTTGCACAGCCCCCCTCGACTTTTGCAATTGCCAGCGTGTGCCTGTTAGAATGCCCTGGTTGTGACAATGTGTGCCCGAATGTCTGCACGTCCTGACACATATGATGGAATTGTATCTGCCGTCTCTACACGTCCAGGTTCATTGTGACAAGAGTGTTCTTGCCCCCGCCCCCCCCCTCCCCCCTCTCCCCCGCCGCCAAACAGAGAGCTCATAACTACCCCATGGTGGCAATCCTGCATCTGGACCTTTACTCGACCAAACACAGAGAGACAGTTGATCATATATGTCGTTCCTGTGTCCTGCTCGAGAGCATTGATGATGTGGAGATGGTGGGATACCCGTTGCCGCCTTGTATGGGGGGAGATGACACCTTGCGCCCCCTGGTATGGGGAGATGTACCCTTGCCCCCTTGGACCCCCTTGGATGGGAAGATGCCCCCTTGCCCTCCCTTGTATGCGTAGCGGCCCCTTGCCCCCCCTTGCCCCCTTTGCATGGGGAGATGGGTCCTTGCCCCTATGTGGAGGAAAGATGCCCCCTTGCCCCCTTGCCCTCCCTTGTATGCGTAGGGGCCCCTCGGCCCCTTTGCATGGGCAGATGGGTCCTTGCCCCTATGTGGGGAAGATGCCCCCTTGCCCCCTTGCCCTCCCTTGTATGTGTAGAGGCCCCTTGCCTCCTTTGCATGGGAAGATGGGTCCTTGCCCCTATGTGGGGGAAAGATGCCCCCTTGCCCTCTTGCCCTCCCTTGTATGCGTAGGGGCCCCTTGCCCCCTTTGCATGGGAAGATGGGTCCTTGCCCCTATGTGGGGAAGATGGCCCCTTGCCCCCTTGCGCCCTTGCCCCCGTTGTATGCGGAGGTAACATAAAGGATTAGAAATATAAAATAAGATAAAAGGCGCTGTCCTTTTTGGCGGAGGCAATGGAGAGGCAGGTGGAGAAGAAGGAGAGGTGGGAGAAATTCCTATATCCAGCCAGTGTACATTATCAATCATAATGTATCACTTCAATTTTTTTGTTGACGCTGAACCTCAGGATTCTTTCACTGGGTTTAGCCGGGGTTCTGTCGAGGGAGGAAGGCATTTCACTCCCTCTTCAAGGTAGAGGAGGACATTCGATACCAGAACTGGTTGTGACGATCAGAAGTCTAGGTTAGCTGGACAAGGGTTCTGTCCAGGGTGGCAGGCATTTCACTGGCCAATCAAGGACCCAGCTGCCAGGTCAGCGAGGGTCAAAGCCGGATGTGGGTCCTGCTGCCCCCCTGTATCCTACCACGTTTGGGGGCGAGTGGCCGGGTTTCCATCTGGGGGCTTGATCAGGGCAGCAGCTACCGTCTTCACCCGAATAGAACGCCCGGTCGTTATAGCTGTATCTGGACTGAAGATTGCACCAGATACGGCTATGTGGGTCGTGCTGCCCTGTATCCTACTAGCACGTTTGGGGGCGAGTGGAACACACCCTATGCGTTGTATTCATTTACAATGCATATGCGTTATGTTCGGGGGGAAGAAGGGGGGTAGGGGCTTAATGGTTTCACAGCTTCAGACTTCCAATGTATCATCAGAGACCGTATCATTCTCATGCAATCTTATGAACTCCGATGATACATGATGGGAACAGAGTCCCGCCGGGCCCGGTTGCCGGTGTGCGAGGATTGAGCCCTTGCAGCGGGCCTTTCGGCGTGGTTACCCGACAGCCCACTTGGGCCCCAGCAAGCCTCGTGCCCGCCCTAATAAGTGAGAAGGCAGGCCTGCATGCTTGCATGAGGCCTTGATTTTGTCATTTCTGCATTGTTGGGCGCCGGGGCCGTTAGCCCACTTGGGCCCCAGCAAGCCTCGTGCCCGCCCTAATAAGTGAGAAGGCGGGCCTGCATGCTTGCATGAGGCCTTAATTTTGTCATTTCTGCATTGTTGGGCATTGTTGGGCGCCGGGGCCGTTTCCATGCGCCATTTCGTTACACAGGCCCTGCTCACGAGTATTGGAAGCTTCCGTGAGCCTTCCAGGCTCTTCGTGACTTTACGTGGAACTGGCCTCTCAGCCTATCAGAAAGTGGGGAACACGTCACAGCTTGCGTGGGTAGGTGGGCGCGCCTAACTGTTAAGTGGGGGTCCCAGTTAACCGCTTGTGACTGTGGTAATGGGCCAGCATGTTTATACTACGTACCCGATTGAAATTCCATCCACAATGAATTCACACGTTCCCATACACGCATGCAATTACAGAGTAGACTCGGAGGAGGCAAATCCACACAAAACCGTCGAGAGGATATGCACAGCGGAAGCTCGAAATACACCGAGAATTGAAAAGCGAATTTCGATTCTGTAATCCCCCGTCCTCCTCCAATCAATCCAAAGTACTCGTTCCAAGATTCACAACCGCGTTTTTTACAAAAAACCCGAACAACGAAAAGCGCGTGTTCAACGAAGCATGCATGCAGGAGTCTTCTTCTTCTTCTTCCTCCTCGCCACCTCATACCCCTCCCTGGCTATGGCTGCCGTAGCCGCAGTAACCCCCCCCATAGCTGTCACAACGTGCCCATCTGAACCAGCAACCGCAATGATAGCAGCGCCAGCTCAGTGCACGCACGGAAGTGCAGCGTGGGGGGGAGTCCTGATGAAGAAGGAGACAACCGATCCAGCACTTAGAAGAAGAGAAAAACGAAGTTCCTCGTGAGGAGGAACAGCAGATATGGCTGCCAAGTGGAGAAAGGCAGCGCCCAAACCCAACAGCACAGTCCTGTGGAAGCTCTCGTGCAGAGCTGCTGAACAGCAGCAGTGCGATCTCCGACTTCGTGTCCAGCCCCAGCTATGGCTGGGCTTCGAGGAAGAAGATGCCCTCGCCCAAAATAACGCAGCAACGCTTCGACAACGAACGGGCAGAGTTTCCCCAGCCGAAAATAATGAGAAAAGACCCGAACTCCTTTTCCTGCTCGCTACTTCTAGACCTTCGACGGACTCCAAAGGCAACAAGCCAAGACTCATCTGTATCTTGATGGACACAGGCGAAAAGGGGCCCGAGACCTATGACAAGTCAAAAGAAAAAGGCCGAATGGCCTAGGACTACCAAACATAGACTACTAGTGAAAGACTCGGGGATCAAGTCCCGCAAGGCTCAAAACAAACAAACAGCAAACAAACAAGCAACACAACAAACAAAGGTTGCAGGATCAAGTCCCGACAACGACGACAGGGACAAAATTAGCATACTGCCCGCTTGTAGCACTGCAATTCATTGCATTTATGCCAACAGGACACGTTGTGGTGAAATGGTAGTTTCACAACAGTATGGGAAACCGCGGCTGAAATTTTGGCCAAGTGTGAGGGACAGGACAAAGGGATGGGACTTGGGACTGGAACAGTTGGGAAATTGGGAAAAGAGCGGGAGACGTGGGCGAGCTTACGTCATCCCGAAGCAGAAGGACGTGGGCCGATTTCGAGCAACCAGCCCGTATTTTGCTGAACCATCGAAGGTGGTAGTTGAAATCTGAAGCTGTTCATTCTTTCCCTTTTTTTTTTTTTTTTTTTTTTTTTTTTTTTTTTTTTTTTTTTTTTTTCTCTCTGGCGGGGGAGGCGGGATGAGAGATTGTCCATGGCATGCCAGCAGTGCACGAGGGTTAAAAATTAAAATACTAAGTCTGTGTAAGTTTGCAGGGAATTTACCATTAATTTGGTCTTCATTGCCGACAACGCAGGTTTCTTTAGTCACCAGGCCCTTCCATCGATGACAAGGACCAGGTCTACGCTTCTAACCAGGTTCATTCCATCGAGTGAATGATCTGGATCTGTGTGCAAGCAAAGCAAACAGAACATGGCGTGAGGTGCGACCTCACCTTAACGCAACTGATTGTGCACAGTGGCTTGTGTGAAGTATGGCGCTTTTGCAGAACATGGCGTGCAGCGAGAGTATGGTTGCGGTGTCAGTGCGTTGACTAAGTTAAGTGGGGGTATGGACACCCACCCTGTGTCATCCTGGTCATCTTCTTGTGCAGGACTGCCGCCCCACCGTTGTTGTTCTCGCCTTTCTCGCCTCCGACATGCGTACGAGAGAGTTCACACAAAAAAGCTCCTCGCTCTAGGTTGCTTGTCAGGGCCGCAAAGCTACCTGCAGGAGTAAGTATCCTCTCTCTCTCTCTCTCTCTGTCTCTCTCTCTGTCTCTCTCTCTCTCTGTCTCTCTCTCTCCCCTCCCTCATCCTTCCCCCCTCCACCTCTCTCTGCATGCACATATGTCTGTGTATGTGTCAATGTGTGAGACTCTGTATGTCTCTGTGTGTGTGTGTGTGTGTGTG